TTTCCAGCATTATATACGTTATCGCTTCAGCTCCATCGCCCAGCATGAGCGGCACATAGACGAGGAGTTTGTTGAAGATGTGTGTCCTCGCCGTCCTTTACGCTTTATTGCCACCTCGCCTGTCCCCTGTGCATAACAATTCCCTCCCTTTTCTTATTCCCCTGTTTCAAAGCCTGTGTTTGATTTCGTACTGGCCAATGAAACAGCAGTAGGTGAGCTAGCGAGTGAACAATCAATCTTTGTAATGCGATCGGAGGATGGTGGTGCGCTGCGAGTAAATGTTTGCACAGGCAGTCATCCAGGCCTGCCATCAAAACCATTCTAGTGGAAGAGGGAATCTATCCAGGGCGGTCTATCTCTCTCTCTGTCTCTCTCACTCTCTGTCTCTCTCTCTCTCTCTCTCTCTCTCTCAACAACAGCAGGGTATCAAGCACATTATAATCCACAGCTCTGTGCATTTTTCATATAGACTGGCCTTTTATGTTTTATGTACGGCAGCTCAGGGGAGAGCAGCTGTGTGGGCCCTGGATGCTCCGTCTCTGACAGAGAACTCATTTCACTGGGGGAGATGGCCCGGAATGTAGAGTGTCTTTCAGCATCTCACCTGCAGGAACCAGCACAACAAGACAACCCCTCCACCAGTGCCATGCATGCACACAGATAATTAGAATGGCAAACCGAAATGTCTGGTTATTGCCAACAGAGCCCACTGCATGCCGGTGACAGTGTAAACTATGCCTGACCGTGATCCGGACAGAAGGATGATCTAGAGTATTCTGAATGTGAACACATTTCTGGGAGGAATTGCATCACTTCCTTCAACAAAACAAATATTTTTTGTATGCAGAATATCAGTTCATTTATTGGTATAGTGATATAATATACAGCATACTAGTTCCCTTATTGGTGAACTGGTATACTACACTAATTCCTTTCTTGGTATACTGGTATTGGTGTACTGGTATACTATTTGAATTCCTTTCCTAGTATACTGGTATACTACGCTATTCTAGTTGTTTGAATGTAAATTGATGAACTATGATAATAGAACTAGTATTCTATATAGCATACCAGTATACTAATAAATGAACTGATATGCTTGGTATACTTGGATATTATTGGTATACTGGCATACTATACAGCACACTAGTTACATTATTGATATACTGGTATACTATCAGTTCATTTATTGATTTGCTGGTATACTATACATCATACCCTTTCTTTTACTGTGGTACTGGTATACAGCATACCCACTCCTTTATTGGTATACTGGTATGCTGGTATACTACAGCATACTAGTTATTATGCTCTAATTGTTTGAATATAAATGAGTGTATAATATCACTTACACTAAACTCTCAACAAAAAGATGTAGTGCTAAAAAAAGGTTATTTGACTTGTAACAAAAGTGGAACCCTGTTTGGTACCACATGGAAACATTTTTCAAAAGGTTCTTTACAGAACCATATACAACAGGTTTTCCATCATAGAGAAGAACCATTTAACTGTGTAAAGTAGCATGTAAGTATTTAAATGGTTCTGGTTCTGTAATTATTACCTTTGCCAGAGAACCCTTAAAGAACTATTTTAAAAGGGTGTAACATATTTCAATTACACTCATATACACAAAAAGAGTTCTATTTAGTACCAATAAAGGTTCTTTGATTTGTATTGTAGTGTAAGCCTGTTTGGAGCTATGCAGAACCATTTTTAAAGGTTCTTTTAAAAAAACATAGTTTTCCATCATAAAAAGAACCATTTAACAGTGTAAAGAACCCTCTAAGCATTCAAATGGTTCTTTGAGTGGCCATAGTTCTATAAGTTCTATACATAACCATTGCCTTTAGTAAACAACCTTGAAGAAACACTTTTTAATGGGAAGTAAATATGAAGTAAATAATAATAAAATAGTTAATTTAATATAATAATAGTTAATATAATTGCCTTTTAAATACAATCTTTATATCGTATAGTGTAATATGAACATTTAAGTTAACATAATTAAAAACTCCTTTCAATTTCAAGTGTACCACATACAGTTCAAAGTCTATTCACAATATTCATGTATTTATATTCCGTTTCATGCTGTCAATCTACTGCATTACCATACTGTTGTGTTATTGCATAATCCATGTAATTCATAGCCATCAGTCATGTTTCTGATGGTCTGCAATATCAGTGGTTAGTGTTAAGGCTACTGGAGTTCCTGGGATTATTTATGTTAAAATATACATAATTGAAATGAGGCTGATCAATGAAATGTTATTAATGTAATTAAACATCTTTGCATATCTCACATCTCCTGCATCATAGCAGAGGAAGCAGATGGTACAAACAGAGCTACAGCAGGCTGGGCATGGATCAGGCCTTCTTCAGCATGCCATGCATTAGATGGTGTGCTGTATGGTCAGAGTGGTATATCATCTGTTTGAGGAGCAATACTGCCCTCTCCTGTCCTGTCTTGGTTACTGTAGTTTGCTTTGACCTCCAGATTCAGGATCATGAGTCCCTGGAGGGTCCTGAGTGTATTTTCTACTGTAGATCTTTGTTTTGTTATTATTGATGTATTTGGGTGTTATTGATACGTTTGGAGGTTTTGGTTTGGTATTATCGGATTTCTCCGTTCTCCTGAGAGATAGGAGAGACATTGAAAGGTAGTATAGGGTCACCAATCATATCCATAAAAGGTTGATATGGCTACAGGGTTTCATTCCAGTCAGTCAGTTGGTCTAATTAGTTGTGTAAGGTGTGGTTGGAAGGAAAACCTGCAGCCACGCCAGCCAGAGAGAGAGAGAGAGAGAGAGAGAGAGAGAGAGAAAGCGAGACGACGAGAGAGAACCCATGCTCTGTAACATATCCATTGTGGCCGCACGGGACAGAGGAAAAATCTTTAGCTCTGAAGGAAAAGGTCAGATCGGTGGGGGCCGGCGGGTAAAGACAGAGCATTTTTTCACGCTTGACAGGGCGGCGTTAGGCCTTAACTGGCTGCTGCCAGCCAGCGATGTGCACTTGTCCCAGCTTGATGCTTTGTCAATGTGCTGTGACTAAGCCAAGGGGGTCCCATATCCCCTCTCCTTAGCCTAATTAAAAGAGGATTAGCCAGCATGGAGTCCCAGCCCACTCCAGCGTGCAGCGCGCTCGTTCTCCTTACTTTCTCAGGATAATCACACCTCCAGGAAACGGCAGGGACGGGCAGAGGGGCTTTCTGGACCGCCGCCCGGAAAAAGCAAGGCCGGGAGAGTTATGGCTGTCTGTAGGCCGCGGTAAGCCTCGGTCACTTTGACCATGCAGACAGGAGCAGCACGCCAGGTCTGCGTTCCCCCTTCACAGCCCTCTTCTTCTCACCTGCCAACAGAGTGTGTGAAATTATGCTCTTAGAAATGAGGAGCCCAATGTGAGATTCACATCTACAGTTAGCCAACTGCTTTACAGCCTACTCAGTGTTTAATTGGACAGGTTAGATATAGCATGGTGCTGGCAGAAGACTCATGAACAGTGCAGAAGGTAAGAAAGAGTTTTGAGCATTTTTTGCATTAAACTCTTAGACTCTAAAGGGTCCATATATGCCCTTTCACCTCTACAGTTTATTATTCCACAAAGAAAAAATATTTTTTACTTGAGTTTGGGTTCAGGCCTAACCCTGGGGGGTATTTCCCAAAGCAGGATTTCTCAGTTTAACCAGATAACCTAAGCCCAAAGTCAAGCCTGTAAAATATAAAAAGAGCTGAGGGACATTACTGTTGGACAAGCTTGACTTTAGGCGTAAGTTATCTGGTTAAACTGAGAAATCCTGCTTTGGGAAATATAATACTGAAGTACCCAGAAGACACACATGGGCTCACTGGCCTTTTTTTGACAGCAAATAAAATGGAGAACTCTTATTTCGTAGTAGACGCCTCTGGTTCCCATCACCACCACTGTAAACAACATAAAAGTCATCAGGTTTCTCTACAAAGCATCTTTTCAAATCAAAACACTATGCATGACAGTGACAGAATTATGTTGTTGCTCTACTGCTATAACAGATTCTGAAGTATGGTTGAAGCTTGAATACACTGTTCATTGCTTCCATCCTGCACTTTCATTCAGTTTGGGTTTGGTTCCCCCCAAAGAATAACTGCAAACGGAATTCATAATATGTTATAATAAGGATATTTCTTTTACCACATAGGTTAATGATGATCAAAAATCAGTGAAGCATGGGGAAACCTGTGGTTCACAGATGTGCAAAGGCTATCATACAACATAAAAAAACACTAATGATTGCAATTTCTTCAATTTAAGCTTTCTGTTATCACTGTTTTATCTGCCTAAGATCAAAGGTTTTGGGTAACGTACTTAAAGTAGAATTCCAGCATTTTTTCAAAATGTCTTATCAGTTAAATTGTTAAGATGTAAGATTCTTTCTAAGTCTTTCTAAGCTACCTGTATTACACAGAAAGGTTGTCTTAGATATTATTTTATGAAAGTTCTGAGATAAGGTTTTGGTACAATTTGGTTCAAATTGCAATTTCGATATGAAAAAGATTAATGTTTAGCCCTAGATTTTGGCCTAAAATGTATTTGCAAAATCTATTCAAGTACATGCAGTGTTGTAAGGCAAAATAGTGCCCAAATAAAACTTTTTTTCTTGTTTTTTAATCAACATATGAACCATTATGCATTATCAAAAACCCAGAAGACTTGTGTGGGCTTACTTGTCTTGTTTGGCAGCAAGTAAAATGGAGAACTCAAATTGTGTTATAGACGCATCACCATCACTGTAAACAACGTAAAAGTCATAAAGTTTCTCTACAAAGCACCATTTCAAATCAAAACACTATGCATGGCATCTCAGTGACTGGATTATACTGTTGCTCTACTGCCATAACAGCTTTTTGTCAACATGGCGCCTTTCATTCCAGTGCTATGTAGTATTTACTCCGTCACAGCAGAGGGCGCCGCCGAGTTTCTCTCAGGCCACACTGTTTACATGTAGGTTAAATAGGTCCCCGCCCCCCATGTCCGCCCCTTCTACCCCGGATCGTCCTGCCGCAGGAGCCAGTGTTGAGTGTTAGTTCGGAAAGTGAGCCATGGAGGACGGTGAAAAAGAATGATGAGCGAGCAGCGGAAGCGGGATCGGCAGGCAGGTGAGGCTGCACTGCGCATGTCACAGTTTTACAGCTAGGTAAACCCAAACAGACGTACTAACAGGTCCGCGCTGTTTCCGCTGCACTCACGACTATTCAGCTCCAGTTTACAAGCCTCTGCAGCGCGCAGCTGTGCAGTTCTGCACTTCTGAACTGTTTTCGCATAAACTGCGTGTTTCTTTGTCGGTGTTTGGAGGATTTAGTGAGCGGTTTTCTCCTCTCACTGGTTTGTGTTGTGGAGGGGGGGATGTGGGCGTGGCCCCGCGCGGAGAACAGCTGCTGCTGCTGCTCAGTTCGGGTCATATGATGTGGAATAGAGTCAGCAATTTACTACATATTTCAATCTAAAAAAATTTTCTGGTTAAAGTGTAGTGGGAAATAGCATAGAAACAGTAAGCGCAATAATAATAATAATAATAATAATTATTATTATTATTATTATTATTATTATTATGTATATAGACTCCACTCAAAGATGATTCCTCAAGGGTACTTTAGTAAATGGAATATTTCTATTTAGATCTATTTAGATCTTCTATATAGTACAGATCTCATATTCTATATAGTATACTCTTTTAAAAGATGGTTCCTCAAGGGTTCTTTAGGAAAAAAAATGTTTCCATGGAACTATGAACACTCAAAGAACCCTTTGCATGATTAAAGGGTTTTTGCATCATGAAAGGATTTTTCAGATTGATTGAGAATGTGCTGTGTAAACTTGTAACAATAGAAGAACCCTTTTTGGTACGCTTTATGCTATGTAGAACCATCTCCAGCACATTCTCCATCAATCTCAAGAACGCTTTCCTGATGCAAAGAACTGTTTAATCATGCAAAGGTTTTTTTTTTGAGTGTTCATGGTTCTATATAGAAGCATTTTCTTTACTAAAGAACCCTTCAAGAACCATCTTTTTAAAGGGGGGTACCATTTCATGGCTAAATCGTTCTTCAGATTGATGGAGAATGTGCTGTAGATGGTTCTATAGAGCACCTTTTTGAAAAGGGTTCTATTTAGCACTAAAAAGCATTCTGCTGTAGTTATGATGTCAAGTTTGTAACAATATAAGAACCCCTTTTGTTGTTATATAGAACCCTTTTCAAAAAGGTGCTGTATAGAGCCATCTACAGCACATTCTCCATTAATCATGCAAAGGGTTCTTTGAGTGTTCATGGTTCTGCATAGAGCCATTTTCTTTACTAAAGAACCCTTGAAGAACCATCTCTTTTAAGAGTGTACCATTTTATGGTGCAATGGATCTTCAGATTGAAGGAAAATATGTTCTGTATGGTTCTGTACAGAGCCATTTTGAAAATGGTTCTATATAGCACCAAATAGCATTCTTCTATTATTTTTACATATTTTTCTGCATCATTATGAGCTTGACGTTTCATAAGATCTTGGCCATTTCCAATTGTGCACCCCTAGTGGTAGTATAAAATTAATATCATGATAATTATCTAACCTTTATCCTTTATTAGGAATCATAATATTGTGCTTAAAAACACTACATGTATAATGAATGTGTAGATAAACATAGTATTTTTAAAAGCAATAATGTGTTGGTGGTTATACAGTTTGGAGATTTCTATCTTTGAAAAAAACCCTGATGGCACTTTGCATAATAGGGTTTTTCCCGAGCTGGGTGGTCGACCCTCTTAGCACATTGAATATGAAAGGGTGGCACTGCTATCTTTACTGTGAGGTGTGAAGATGCTCAGACCAATAACACACTAACACAGCTGGACAAGCTGGAAGGAAGCTCACAATGGACACAACTGCAGTGTGACTGCATAGTGGGACATTGTGAACAAGCTACTCTGGGTATCTTAAAACCTTACTAAAATGACTAAAATGCAATGATGGCATTCCAAAATGTCCATGATGATACTGTATGTGTTGAATGTTGCGTTATGTCTTATTACTGAATATCAGCACAGACTCAATAATGCAACTTTATAATGTTATTAAAGACACTACTGTTTTATATTATGTGTATGCTGAGCACAGACCTGTTCTGCCAAATGCTCACTGTTGTGCTGTTATTTTGAATGCTTTTTCAGGCTAATTCTACTCACGACTTTCTTATATCTATAGTATAGTATCTATAGTGTTGCTAGTATTGGCAGAGGCCTCAGCAAGGCTCAGCATAACTGTTTGCAAATGTCTCACATTTTTTACTGTGGCATCTCTCTTTAGATCACTACCATCTTACAGTTGCTGAGACTCAAGGTACGACAGTTAAAAGGAAAAGTTTTGCTTTTAAGTTGATGTGTTCTGAGCATTTACGCAGCATGTTTCTTTCTTGAGCTTCAGAGAGCTAGCAGGTTTTGCCTGGACTTGGGTTGTGGCTCTTCTAGTTTTGTTTTAATAATTGGATTTGTTACCGATCCTGTTTTTGGATTCTGCCCAATAACAGTGGCATGTGATTCTAATGCATGCACTACATCTTGTTGTTGAAAGTAGGACCAATTCAAAACCTTGAGATGATACTGACATTCAGTATTAATGTCCATGCTGGCCAACAGAAGTATTTATAAACTGATTTATGTAGTGGTGGGCGCCAAAACAGCACAGTCAAATCAGGTTTATTATAGTCAGTACGGTTTGAAGGCTGATGCCATAAAGATCAGTAATTAAGGGAACGTTGTTTATTGTAAGGTGATCCCACAAAAGGTATCAGTTCTGTTGGTTCTTTTTGCTGTTGTATGTATGGTAAATACTGTAAATAGGAACTGAAAGTCTCAAAGGACTGAAACATGCTGACGATTTAACCGAAAATGTTCGCAGGGTTGTTTAGAACAACTCTTCACAGGCCTACAGAATAATTCAGCAACTAACCGAGATATATACGGCACCCCATGAGATTTGTAAGCATGAGCATTGTGATGTTATAAACACTGTCAAATGGTTTTAGCGTAGAGACTGTGATGTTAATGTACATAATGTCCACATAGAAAAGGTTCGTCATGAAGGTAGAGTGAATAATCTTTGTTTTGCTATGTATAAAACAACATTATTCATGGACAAACTAATTATTTCTTTGTATAAGTTTTAAAGGACAGTTTGTTGATGTACAAGCCCAAAAATTTGTAGTGTCAAGATATGCAATATTGAGTACAGAGTGTAGGATTTGGAGTATTTTTACATCTTCCACAGTCCCGTTAATATTTTTGAATCAAGTCCTTGGATGTATTCCATCCATATGCAAAAGGCACCCCTGTTCAAATTCCATGTCTTGTGGATTTTCTAAGTGAAAATAAGTGAACACATCCACTACAGAGAACACCTTTCTGCATACTTTAATCACAATTCTTATTCCTTTAATGAGTTTAACACATTAGTTATGGCACATTTTATATTTTGTTTTTTTTTCTCCCTAAATATGTTCAAATCAGCAAATGAATAGAAATTGTGAAGTAAAATTAGCAGAACATTACATAATTAAGTTTATTCCCTGTAGAGGATAAATTAACTTACTTTGACCAAAAAACAGGGGCGTTCAAACTTTTAGATCTCTGTAGGTAGATATTGCGGTTTGTGTGAACCATTGATGCAACATGGTATGTTATCGGCTCGCCTTATTCAGATCTAAATTGTTTACATTCGTTGGATTATGTGAATGTCGTGATTCATCCAAACTCACCTGGAGCATCTGTGATTGGTCAGGGATGCTCACAGCACCCAGTGACACGTTTGACCATTTGCTAACTTCAGGGAAATTCCCACCTCGCTTAGTCATTGTTTTTACATCCGTCAAACTTTAGCATCTGTAACACTGGTTTACAGGTGGTTCAGTGTAGACATACATGCGTAAGAAGTGTATGTTGGCCTATTTAAAGAAAAGGATTCTGGAAACTATGTTTACATCAATCAAACCACCTCAACGTTAAAGCAGTAGGTTTTCATGTCTATAAGAACGAGGTTTTAGTGACGGAAGCTGCCCCTTCAGATGAGCTAATGCTAAAGCTAACACTGGAGCTAGTCAGAGCAAATCTTCTGAGGAGGACTTTTGTCTTTTACAAAAGGTGTTTTAGAAAAATTGAAACAATACAACAAATGGCATGTGTACAAATCCATTAATATTTATCTATACATTGTTTTAGTCATAAATTAGAGTGGTGTCCTGTTTAATCTGAATAATTTATGAAGCTGAGAAAAGCTAACTCATTAGCTAACCAAACTAACATTGTTTGGTAATATTATTTATTGTTGGATGTAATTTTAAAGTGATTTTTATTGCAAATGTAGGAATCCAGTTTAGGCTACCTTATTAGTCAACGTACGTGTGCCAGTTTATAGTTTTGCCTTTGAACTTGGAGTGAGGTCTTGGACATAAATCCAAAACATTTTTTCAGCTTCAGAATTAAATTAAAACATCACCTTCCAGATGATCAGGATGGGTTGTGTCAGTCATTACACATTCCTCAGTAGCATCTTTCGACCATTTCTTAGTGCAAGTGCTCAGGCTAACTTTTTTCTGCCACCATTGTTCTCACTGCAGGTTTGTTTTATGGAGTTTGGTCAGTTTTTCCTTTGCTTGTCAGAGAATGCATCATTCAGAGACAGCTGGGATTGGCTGAGAGGGGTGCCAGTCATAAGTCTGCAAAATCTAATCTACTGCAGCCATCTGTGATATCAGTATTGCAAAGACTAATAACATTGTGGTTACGACTAACAAACAATATATTGTGCAGCCCTATAAGACGTATGATTCTGCATTTCTAGTCAAATGTTATTGTTTCCATTTTGAGTAGTTTAGGATATGCACACCCACCACTAATTCACTCTTAACAATCCCAAACTTCTTTCTGGCCTCCTGCGATTATCTTCTAGCTCTGGAGAACTCTGACAGTGACATTGGTATGTGTGGGTGGTTGCTGGTGCTGTTCTCCATCCTGCTGACCCTCCTCACCCTGCCCATTTCCATATGGATGTGCATCAAGGTAATTGGCACTGCTTCACATTCCAGATGTTTATCTTCTAATGCAAGGCTGCAGGAAATATTGACTGTTTATGATTATTGGTAATCAGAGCCATTGCTGCAGCTTCAAAATATTGCTGGCAATATCACTGGAAATGGTCCAGAATTACTTGGAATAGTAGGTTATTATTGTAATGCACATTAAACGTGAAGAAAGTTTTTTCCTTTTCTTATAAAGTTACCATTTCAGAGAGACAAGGTATTTTTACAACAGCAGTAAAAGCCTGTAACCTCACTGATGGTGTTCTTGTACTGATGGCACTAGGACTGAGACAGATATCCACTGATGCATACATACAGCCTTGTTCACGCTGTGATAGTGCACTTTAATAATCGTCCTTCGGTTAGCTAAGACACACTTCCATAAGCTGCCTGGCAACCGCTAGTCTAATGGAAAATTATGTCAAGGGTGTAATTTCCCCCATAAGAAGATAAACCCTAACTGCAGACTAAAGAGATTTTCCAAGGTGGTTTATTAGTAGAGTATTAGACCAGGGCAACAAAATATTAATGCATTTGCTCAGTGAATGTATATACCCATTAGGATATTATTACTCTTACTTTTAATGTACGTTTGTGCAAAGAGATTTTCATTTTGGAGCATTTCTATGGCAAGGTTCTTCGTTTTTTCATTTTTGATACCGTATTGAAACTGATACACCATTGCCGATTTGCCACTTGAGCGTCTTTCATTTGCCATCTTTTATGGAAGCCACTCTCAGTTATCAAAGCTTGGCCTCTGGATGCATCGTATCAAAGGAAAGTGGAAGGGGTGTAGAAAATGTAGAATATGAATCCTTGTGTCTTCCGTTCATATCCATTTTCAAATCAAAAATTGGATTTTTTTTTTTCATTTCGGTTCATCAGTGAAATTATTATTATTACTATTATTATTATTATTATCATTATAAATAAAGATTACCATGATATTAATAGCCTAATGCTACTGTATTTGAGGTGAATTATTGGGAATACTTGTAGTGGTCCAGACAATCTACTTACTCTTTTTAGCTGCTGTTGTCTAATCTGTCCTGGTGTGTGTCTGTTAAACACAGTGAGATTGTGGGCTCAATAAATTGCTTGATTGCTTAATAAATTGATTAATCGATCTGGCCACTGCTATTTTAAGAGCTTATTATGTACTTGTCCTCTTCTTCAACTCTGGTCTTTGCTAAACCTGCAGATGCTCATGGCCGAGTATTTCTGTTCACCCGTTGATACAGATTGGCAGAAATTAGGGCGGATGCCATTTTATCATTTAACGTTTTAACGATCATCTAATTGAAAAATTAAAAAATGCTGGGTATTCAGGGTTTGAATAATGTTTTACATTAAATAATCCATTTTGGTTTTGAGGGACTAAAATGAAAAAAAGAAATAAATGATTTTCGTTATCTGATTTTTGATTTCAGAATGAATATGGGTTGAACGGAAGATAGATTGATGTTGTCTATTGCGTGCATTTGTGGCTTTCAGTCTCAGTCATGGTCACTCCATGAACCACACATGTTAGTGTTTTCCTACTTTCACACACTTATCAGATAATTATTAATCTTTATGTAATCTCCAGCAGTTGTGTTAGATCAGAGGTTCTCTGTTACAGTTGTGAGAACCCACTTGCTTGCACTGTAAGACACCGGCTGCCTCTAGTCCAGGGACTCCCAGCCCGGTCCTTAGGGCCGCCTCATTTTCCACTTTTTACTATGGATTACAAGCCGGGTTGGAGCAAAAATGTGGACAGGCTGGGGGGCCCTGAGGACCGGGTTGGGAACTCATCTCTAGTCTAATGGGGAATTGTATCAAGAGTGTAATTTCCTCCTTCATGCAGTAAAGTACTTCTCATCTGCTCATACACTGGAAAATGAATGTGGAGCCAGGGTCGTTTTTTGTCGTTCTTCAAGTTTTTTTTAGAAAGGCGATTGTTAATGATTGTTAGTCTGCAACTGTAAGCCTATAAGTAAGATATCGTTGAGAGCTGAACTCTCTCTGTTGTTCCTATAGATAGTGAAGGAGTACGAGCGGGCTATAATCTTTCGTCTGGGCCGTATTTTGCGAGGAGGAGCCAAAGGACCAGGTAAGAGAGCCCTCTTAATTTTGTCGCCCTCAAAGCTACATACAGTCGTGTGCAAAAGTTTGGGCGCACCTGGTCAAATTACATGTTTTGTCCTCTACAGAGAACACGCTTCTGCACATTTTAATGCATGATTACTGTATATTTGCTGAATTTAACGCAAAAAATAAAGCGTAATATGTGGCATCTCTCAGCTCTCTCTGTACCTCTCTCTCAGTATCTGTATTTCTATTAGGTAATATTCAGGTAGTATTCTCAATGTGGTATTAGTTTTATTTACAACATCTTTTTTATAGCCTAATCATATAATTCACTCAGTTGTAACATGTAGCTAAACTAAACTAACTCATTTTCCAAAATGTCTGAATAATTCAGTCCTTGAGATGTACAGAGTCATTCAGAGTGGTTTGACGTGAAATGGTTCATTGTAGAGAAACTTACCAATTTCTTTACAGTGGTGGTGATAGGGCTCAATGTCTACAACACAAATACAGTCATTTTATTTACTATCCAAACCACCAGTGAACCAACATGTCTTCTGAGTTTTCATATGTAATGTTGATGATGGTAAAATAGTCATAAATCTGAAAAAAACAATTTTTTACTGTTTTACCTCAAAACACCCTGCAAATGTTCCTCCATCATGAATGCATTAAAAATAAATGGATTAAAATACATTTTACACCAAAACGTTATCATAAAACAACGTGTCAGACATAAGGTAGTGTATATCAAACCACTACATATAAAAACATTCTGTAAAGGAGCTTTTACATGTGGATGTCTGGTTCCTATCACCACCACTGTGTACAATTCTCACTCTTTAAGTTTCTCTAAAACAGATCATTTCACACCAAACCACTCTTAATTACTGTGTTTACATCTTAATCATTTAATTATGTGGAATTTTTGAAACATTGGTGGGGTTCCCCTTTAATTCTCTAGCACTTCTAACAGTTTTCTGTCCCCTGGTCCTTTAAATACGGGTTGATGTGAGATAGAACCAAAAACAGCCCCACGGGATGTTCAAACTTTTGCATGCAACTTAATTGACTTAACTGCTTAATTTATGAGAGTAAAAATTCCTAAATGCATGAGACAGATTTTAATGAGACATGCACTACATCTATGACAACCTGCACACCAAGTCTGAAAATGGCGTTCCTTTGATGCTGCATAGTGTTTTTGTTTTTCAATGCATTGACTGACAAATTTAAAAATGTATTGGATTTGAAATAGTACTTTGAATTTACATGACTCAGTTGACTCATTTGAAGCATGTAAATTTAAAGCATCATTTGTTTTGAGTACCCACATGATCTTTGGATAATGATAGGTGCTGATAGGCTCATTTGTCTCAAAGCATAAAGAATCATAAAATAAAAAACTGAAAACTCAAAAACAGTGAACTAAGGAGCAGCATTTAGCAGTGAATTTCTGATCAACGTGGTATGGCTGTAGTCAAGTCCGCCTTTATCTAGTCCAAGACAAGTGCAAGACTGTGACTAGATAAGACTGAGTTTCTAAAGGAGGCCGAGACCAAGACCAAGACTGAGTCCAAATGAGTGCGAGAACAAGACCCAGTAATGTTGATTCCTCTTTGAGGCCTGGTCTTTAACAGATTCTAGTCCAAATTACTTGGTCTTTTCAGATTGTTTGACAAGGTCTAGACAGTTACAAGTGAGCTACAACCCCTACCTTCAGACAGTGAGAGAGGCTTGGCTGTGAAAGATTTATCATGTGTTTAAGGCAGTATTGGGGAAGTTTCATTCTATAGCATGAGCAGTAATCGCCCACATGCTCCTGTTAGCCTTTTGTGGTCAGATACATCTTGTTTCTCAACCTATTTATTTATAAAATCCTTGGCAAGGTGCTACACCACAGGGTCTGCTTACATGAGAAACACTTGTTTGCTGCTGCATCACAGTGGTCTGCCAAAATAGCTGTGTGGTGCAGAGAATAAACAATGCGCCTGTTTTTCCATTTCCGCTGGCCTACATTCAGTGCCTCTCTTTGCAGAGGCAAAATTTTGTACTGCCAGCAGAGATCAGATCTGATAGATATAAGGAACAATAGCAGAAGTTGGGCAGCGGTCCTGCTTGGGTAAGCTCAAAAAACACAGCATACAACATTTGCAAAGATGCTGGAATTAACTGAGAGCTATTCCAGAAAGTGTGCTTTTAGAGGAGATACATCTGTGAAACAGTGGTGGTAATTACATTTTATTCAAAGTTTGACTTCCATGACAGTAAAAGGCTGTCTGCATCAAACACAAATTGTTATTATTGGTCATTTCTCTGCAATGGCCTTTCATGATTTTATTGTATAGCTACTGAGTGATCATATATTTGCCACAGGCTGCTGAAGACTGCGGCATGGGATTAGTCACAGTCTTCAGCAGCCTGTCTGTCTTTGACTGCAGCCAGCTAATTCACTTAATGGACCAGGCAGTCTAACTAATGGCAAGCTTTATGATCTTTGGCTCTGTTGCTAAGGAACTGTGACATATTATGAGGAACAGTTGTACAGCACGGATCTCAGATGGTGTCCACTCGCTTGGTCATGGTCAGGTCAATGCCGTATGATAGGTTTGCATACAAGATGGGCTTATATTAACAACTAAGACAGCCTGTTTTGAGTCAAATTGCATCTTGCATTGGAAGCACTTACCACCAACATGTTATGTGGCAATAAAAGAATCAATCAATCAATCAATCAATCAATCAGTCACATATACTAAGCATGCAGAATACCATAACAAGGGCAGCTTTCATAAGGCTACAGGACCCTTACCTGCACTCTCAGGAAAAAAAGCTTTGAAATTGTCACTGGGGCAGTACCCCTCTTGTCGCTGGGGTGGTACCCTCAAGAGTACATCTCAGTACCTTTAGTCAGGGAACATAATTGTACCATAATCCATTGAAATTATGTTTTCTAAGTTGTATTGACTCCACAAACCCCGTCTCGTCTGCAGGCTTTTATTTTATTGTTCTGTTTTAATATGTACTTTTCACCAGGAAAAACTAATTTAAGGTACATTGTTGAGGGAACAATTACATTCTTTGTACCTTGATGAATGAAAAATGTACCAGCACAGAACCTTTATTTCTTACAGTGTATGGCAAACTTGTGTAGACATTTATAAAGACTTATTCCAACACGTGTCACCTTCTGAGGTGAAATGACATCAAAATTACCAAAAACAGAACAGAGAAAAAAAGAGCTACACTTAAAAATAAAAGATGGTTCTTTAAGGGTTCATTAGTAAAGAAAATGGTTCTATATAGACCAACAAGGGTTCTTCTGTTGTTACGATTTCAAGCCTGTTAGAATAGAAAAACTCTTTTGGGTGCTATATAGAACCTTTTCAAAAAGGTTCTATATAGAACCATATGCAACAAATTCTCCATCAATCTGATGAACACTTTCATGATTCAAAGAACCCTTTAATCATGCAGAGGTCTTTGATTGTTCTTTTCTTTACTAAAGAACCCCTAAAGAACCATCTTTTTTAAGAGTGTAGGCTTTGATGCCCCAGGAAACCCAAATGTGTAGTTTAATTTTGCTGTTGTGAGAAAACAATATTTATGTATAAATATGTCATATAAAGAACTTTACAATGTCCAGTAAATGGCCAATGTATTTTGGCAAAATTCCCCCTTTTTAAATGTAAAATAAACATCCTAATCTTGGGTCACACATGTGTATCCTCAACAGTCACAAGACTGGATTATCCCACCCACACAGTTTTAACAAAACTGTTCTGCCCAGCTTGTCTGTGTTTGAGTCAGAGAAACTTTTTTCAGTCTTTTTTTTAACAGCTATGTTGACTTTACTCACAGTTACAGCATGTTAACACTTAACATAATACTATGCTGTGCTACAACTCTGTTATTTACTCTTTACTTCCTGCTTCCAAATCGAGTCACAAGACCACTGTAATCTTGTCTGATGTGGTATTTTGCAGTTTATGATCTTTGTGCTGTCCATTTAGCCAAAGTCTCGAATTGGTTACTCTTAAGGGTTTTACTGAATCAGATACAGTACTATCATCCTTAGCTTTGCCATAATACACACTCATGCTCTAGAGATCTGTGCAGGCAGGCTATAGACCTTGTGTTTTGGAATGTGACCTTGCATTCCCGGGAATTTCTGTCAGGATTACAGTGTTGAAGGAAGTGGCTAACATTAGAACTAGTCTACATTGTTGTCACTGATGCCCTGAACGCCAGTGATGCCTCACTAGCCAGTGAGGAGCTTTTGTCTGATGTTCATCATTCCCCTTTGAGCCCTTCGCTTGCCTTATTCGGTAAACCATACTTGTATGTGCAAGGATGTTCCCATTGTTGATTATGAGAATTTGGCTTTTGCTTGACCTCTTTTAACAAAACGCCCCTCCCTAAAGGGTGGAAATGGGTGGAATTTTTCACCAGTTTCTCAAGTGCACCACAGTAGGCTAGGCAAAGCTGTGTTACAGCAAAATAATAGATCTTATCTGCTGTTTGGCCGACTTCCCAGTTTCCTTTTGAAACTTTGGGAAAAAATACGTCGTACACACCAAAAAGAGGACTCTTCGGAGCCAGCACAGGTTTGAACCAACCTGCTTGCCTTGCATGTCACATCCTACCAAGCTTTACTTTGGCAAGCAATAACATGCCAAGCTTTTGATTCTTTATTCAGGAGTATGGGTTTAGGAGATGCAGTTTGAATGAGAACAGACGTTCGTAGCCTGCAGTTTACAGTCGTGTGTACTTTTTTAAATCTTGGGAGACTTCAGTGGAGTGAACAGCTCTGACTGACGGAGTGTGTACATCATCCTCCGAGAGCTAGCATAAGATTTACTACCTGCATAAGCAGCTCTCAGTGGACTGAACTGTTTTGTCCAAGCAGAAATGAAAAGGAAAATGTTTAATTCATACGTTTGTAAATCTCAGCGCCTTGTAGGAAAGCACTCTAGTATTGTACCGTTCTGTTATTATCAAAGCAAAGCCAGAACAGTGAAGACAGGGGTTTTATTCGCATTATTGCTAAATCTGGTCTCAGACATTGCTCTGTGAGAGGGAGTGGAGCTGCTTCTGAGGAAAGCCCTAGTCATCAGTTCTGGGATTAGAGCTACAGAATTAGCTCTTACTAACTGACAGCATGCTGAACAGACGTATTAGAGATGACACAATAGTTTTTCTGTTCCAATACCAATATTAAAACCTTTGGTTTGGGCAGATACAGATCTGATATTTTTTTCTTGAAATACTACTAAACTAAAATAAATTTTTTAACCCCTGAAATTAAATTGACCTTGATAACTTTTGATATTTGATCATGTTACTGTGCATCAGGGAGAGGGAAAATATATTAACCAATAATTTCGTAACATGTTTTCCATTCTCTCCTCCTGTACTATGATTTCGTCCCCATTTTCCATTGAGAGTGTGAATGGGTCTTTTGACTGTAGATTAGCAGGCTGTGGTTATTTAAAAAGCTTTCTGATGGAGGCTTTAGATGACACGACTCTGCTTAAGTGGACCACAGTGGCTAGTTAGTATGTGTACAATAATGCTTAGTACTTAGGCCCACACTTCATTTCCTCACTCACAACCACAAGCAACTTACATATTATTTTCATTATAGTTAGTACTAATTTGTAACTATAGGATCTTTTAATATTGATCGCCAAACTTGTTAATGATGTCTCTGCCACAACTTAGTAAGGCGTGTGAACAAGATCATAGCTTACTAAATTGCGGCCACACATTAGGATCTCGTTCCCATGCCTTACTACGTTGTTGCCACATGTTAGGATCTTGTTCCCACGCCTTAGGAAGTCGTGGCCACGCATTATTTTTTATATATACAGGATGTCACAAGCGGGGCTCCGTAGAAGCCCAACTTCTGTCAGAAAACTAAAGCTACAAAAGACAGTCAGCATTGAGACTCAGCCTGAAATATCCACATAGTTCTGTTCTGGCAAAATTGAGTTTTCTAGCTTTAAATTCTATCGAATGTTGATTAACAACCATCACACTTTTAATATCACTGGGATATTTTTAATGTTTGCAGTTGAGTTGACAGTCCCTTTAAGATTAACAACTAAATAATATGCCTAGAGCTATAAGTATAATTCCACTGAATTGGATATTCTGAAAGAGCATAGCAATCACCACGCAAGTCGCCTCAAGTAATTTTCTAAAATAATCTTGAAAGTGAAAGTTTTGTCTGTGGTTAAGGGGGGAATGTACACAGTGAGTAAACAGTGCACAGGATGAGCCTTCGCCCACAACCCTGCACTTAACTCCACTTGGTTTTTTGCGGCAGGTGTTGTTTGAAAGAACTTTTGTGCCAAATGACCAAGCGTCATTCATTCAAGCGTCTCTCCAAATACCTTTATTTATTAAGATGATTAATGGGGTCTCTCTGTCTTTTTCTGTTTCTTGTGTTTGTGTGCTTGTGTGTGGTGTGGTATGATTACTGTGCAGGTCTTTTCTTTATACTGCCCTGCACTGACAGCTTCATTAATGTGGACATGCGCACCATCACCTTCGACATCCCGCCCCAGGAGGTGAGATATACATATGAAAAGCACACACACAGTTTTGCACATTGACCAACACTCAAGACACTTCACATCACCTTGTGGCTTTATCTTACAAGAGCGTAACTAGCTGCAAACCATGTGAAATATACAGTACAGGAGTAAAGAGCAGTCAGTGGAAAGAAAGTACTTAAAGGGCAATGCCATGCAAAAATAAGTTTCCTAGGTTTTTTTCTTAATAAAAGGATTTGATGCAGTACAAAAACACTGCTAAAGTATCACAATGTACCATTTACTCCTTTTTTGAAATTGTTTTTATGATGTTTCAATGCATTTACATATCCACCTATTCAGTCTACTGCAGTTTAGCCCCACTCATTTATGGTGAAGTAGAGCCTGGACAGCTTTTTGAATGAGGCACAATACAGTGCAATGGAAAACTTAATTATTAACTATTTTAGATACATAAACCCTCACAAACATCATACATTGACTTCAGGAAAGATATAAAATAGAATTAAATGTGGACCCTTTAAGTCGGTGGTCCCCAACTTTCTTGCAGAGTTTAGTTCCAGCCTGTATCCAGTAAGCTGCCCCGCCCCTTACTTAACTCTGATACATCTGATCCAGTCAACCAGTGATTTGGGAAGAGACTGAGTAGCTGGAGCAGGCGTGGCAAACTGTGGTTGGAACTAGGCTCTGTGGGAAGGTAGCTCTCCTGGACCAGGGTTGGAGACTGCTGCTTTAAGCTATGCTTAGTGATATCAGCAGAATTTTCTCCATGTGATTTTGGTGCTAATGTAAAAGTCTTCTGTCCTCAGGTCCTGACGAAAGACTCTGTGACAGTAAGCGTGGATGGTGTGGTGTATTATCGGGTGCAGAACGCCACCCTGGCTGTTGCCAACATCACCAATGCTGATGCTGCCACCCGCCTGCTGGCTCAGACCACCCTGAGGAATGTGCTGGGCACAAAAAACCTGGCTGAGATCCTGTCTGACCGCGAGGAGATCGCCCATAGCATGCAGGTGCGATGCACTCACCCATAGAGAGAAGCATAAACACACATGCTGAAACACAATTTACAATTTATTGTGTCCATTTTCTACCATAGCAATGGTTCCCAACCCCGGTCTTGGAGAACCTGCCATGTATATTTTAGTGCTTTCCTTGCTCACAGCAACTCTTCAAGTGCTTCTTAATTAAGTGATTAGTTGGATCAGCAGGGAAAAGCGACAGGACATAATGAAAAGCAAAGTGACTGAGCTTCAGGCCCTGATGTTAGCACAGTGTTATAGAGGTCAAAGTGAACTGCCTGCTGGGCATAAGCTATCCTTTATACAGTGAAGGGAAACAAGTATTCAGACATTTCTGTTTTTATTATTTAATATACAGCCTTATGCAAAAGTTTGAACACTATGGTCATATTGATTTTTTTTAAGTGAAAATAACACATCTTGTACAGAGAACACACTTAAATATGATCGTTTTCTGCTAATGTTACTGCACAATTTAATTTTCTACATATTTTAACATATTGGGGAAAAAATAAAACATTTATAATGTGACATAACTTTTGTGCAGGCCATGTCTTATGTTTTATTTATTTCCAATATGTTACATTTTGCAAATAAACAGTAATTATGCATTGAAATATGCAGCACTGTGTTCTCCGTAGATGATGTGTTAACTTATTTTCACTTAATCAACAAAATGTCATTTGGCCAGGGATGCCTAAACTTTTGCATACAACTGTGCTTCCAGTGAATATATCCACTTTAAATTTGCACACTATATTTTTACTTTGCACTTAATAATATGAACAAAAAAGAAGTGTTTATGAACACAAACAAAGATGTGCTTATATAGCAGAGGTCACTAATAGGCGGACCGCGGTCCGAGTCCAGACCCAGATGCTGTCCTATGCGGACCTGGACCTATAACGGATAAACTGTGAAGAATTAATTAATTTCGACGGAGTGGTCCTGTTTTAATCGGCGTATGATTTCTAGCCTTTACGATACCTTTAGCGGCCCGGGAACCTCACAGACCGATCGCATGCGTTGTAAATATCACACGTGATGCTACTCGGCCAATCAGATCTGTGCATTACGTTGAGCACTGAGACTCGAGTGAGTGACGCACACACAGGGGAGGGACGAAGCGAGAAACAGCAGTCGGAGAAGAAAGTGAGTCAGAGGAAAGTTATTTTACATGGTGTGCTCTAAAAATAAAAATGTTGTGATGAAATATGACTGAATTGTATTTTATTTGATTTGACATTCAGTTGTTGACTATATAAGATGTTGATATACCTACTATGCTGCTTCATTATACAGTATATGGCACTGAATCATAATGCAAGTTAGACATTATGATGTTCCGGACCTTTGCTTGAGGATATTTTCTCTAACTGGACCTTATTGAATTTTAGTTAAATACCCCTGTTATATAGATTAAAAATTCATTTTTTGAAATAAGCATTCAGACACTACAAATGAATAACATCAGTACATTGTTGCAAAGCCATTGTTGGCAATTACAGCTTCTAAATGTCTGCCAGTAAGAAGAAATTAGCTTTCTGAAGCACTGTGGTGAAATTTTGGTCACAGTTCCTTTTGGCAAGCCATCTTACTCGATGTACTCGCAATCTTTCATAAATTTTTACTAATATTCATTTCAGGACATTGGCTAGACCAGGCAAGCATCTTCAAGTTTTTAGAAGCGTGTGAGAATTAATGTGGCTGCATGTTTGGGGCTGTTACCAAGATCTTCTCCCCTCTAATATGTCCTGGTACATCACTCCATCTATGTTTCCTTTAATAATGTGTAATCATGTGTGATGGGATGGGATTCATGTTCATGTGTTGTGAAGGCTTGCATGGTCCAGGGATGATTAGTTGTGATTCCATGAACTTTGCACTTGCATATTAGGGATTTCTAAGGTCTTTGCGAGGGCTCTGTAGTGTGTCCCATTCAAGTGTTGGTCAATAATGTTGGCCCTGAGAACTTTAGGAAACCCCTTCACTTTCACTATCATTGCTGCTTGTGATACCTTGATAACCAATGGAGTCTTTCATAATGACACTGAGTGCAATTTAGACAAGAACTTCACCACAATGGGGCTCTGCCAGCCCGTAACTCTCATAGCTGTGAAGACTCATGGTTTGCCTGTGTAAAAACCGCAGTGTCAGGGTTGTTTGACATTAAAACACTGATCTGACTCAGCTGACTGCAAGAAAAACCTGCTCGCCATATTTTTAAAGACAACAATAACAGCAATGAAATGTCAACTGTAATGAAATAAAGACCAATTTTAAATAAGGAGAGATAAGTATTTTGTACTTTCAGCACTCCTTATTTATGTTTCTATTAGTATTATCAGAGCTTGTTGTTGTTGTTGTTGTTGTTGTTGTTGTTGTTGTTATTATTATTATTATTATTATTATTATTATTATTATTATTATTATTATTTAAAGTGTCAGTCCTGCTTTTCATTCTTGAGGAGACAAAAAAAAGTAAAGCAAGCTAAACACCCTCTTTTCTCCTTTCCAGAGCACTTTGGACGACGCGACTGATGACTGGGGCATTAAGGTGGAGCGGGTGGAAATTAAAGATGTTAAACTGCCAATGCAGCTCCAGAGAGCCATGGCTGCTGAAGCCGAGGCAGCCAGAGAGGCCAGAGCTAAGGTGAGCTACTCATACATATACCTACTCATACAGATACACATGGTGTGGTTTGGTTTTAACATTTTTAGAGACTTTTTGTGTTCAAATGCATCAGACTATCCAAAGCTACAGAGCTAAATTATTGTTATATATTATATTTATATTTCAAACTGACTGACTGTATTGATTTTGCTGTCAAACATCAAACTATATTCTATACAAATTAGTATGGACATGAATTTATTGCTTAATCCTTTCATTACAGAAATAAAGTTTACTTTAAAAGCCTAAATATTTGCATCATGCGGTAAATAAACCATGTTCTCCTTCAAGCTCTTCATTAGCAACCAACCGCACCATAAACAAGTGCTGAAAATTTGCCTCTCTCTGACGTCTTGGAATGTTACCAATTATAATCGATTGAAATAATATTTATGAAAGCCCTGGTTCTCAAACTCATTCTCAGGGACCTTTAGATGGTCCAGATGTTTCCTTTAACCTAACTTATGACCGGCTGGGAGTCCCATGCACACTCACTTTAATAAAACACATTATCACATAGTGCTTTCTCTTTAATGTTTTATTGATTATGAGGACAGTAGGGACAGCTCCTGTTCTGGACGATTGAAGACTTAAGCAGTCAAATTTCTATTGCGTTCTTCAAGGCTTGATAAGACGTAGTGAAAAGATTATTAACCACACAGCCTGGCTATCTGGCATGAAATCATGTTACTATAGCACAAAACACGTATTTTTGCCATACCTTTTGTGAAAAAAAACAAGGCAGCATTGGGAGAAGCTGTGTCAAGGCAGAGATTAGAGAGTAATAAGAGAGTAAAGTGATTTAATATTAACCAGAACAGAAGTGAGTGCAATTTTCCATTCAATATGCAGAGGTATTACATAAATAAATTATTAAAACATCTGGGCAAAACTTCTTCACACTATTTTATATAATTTCAGGTTTGTCATGGCATTATAATTTGGTTCAATTCAAGAGAGCATCTCGAGTGTTCTTCTCATGTTTCTAAATAATTATGTGCTGGCCATTATTATTGTCTTAAATTAAAAAGAAATTATTGACTTTTCAGATCAACTTAAATTCAAAATAACTTAAAATAAAAATGGACTTTTAGTAGTCATATGGACAAAAGTGATTTTTTAAAATGCGCATATACAGATATAAGCAAGTGAAGATGTAAGCAAGAGCAGTAACAAATCAAACAGGGACAGTAACTTCGAGATGGAGAGAAAGAGAAAATAGAGTGGTTGGTAAGAGTGGCCTCAAGTACAACTTGGAAGAAAAGCAGAATAATTTTATTGATGAACTACAGTCTAATACTGCTGAATCAATATTGAGAAATATATACAATAGCATCTGATTATGTAAGTCTAAACAGCATGACTTTGAACACTGAGTGTAAATATAAAAATTGTGCTATTTACTGTGTACATAGCAAAATGTTTGCACTTCATGTAAGTAGCATCTAAAATAGCATCTGCCATAATAAAAAGCAGATCTAGCCTGTACTATTGTATAGGTTTGTATTTGATTAGTGTTACTTTGTTTAGAATTGTTTTAAGGGACTATTAGCACTTGAACATGTTCTTATAGGCCTACACTTCTATTAATATATATGTGAATATATATGATTTGGCTATAAATTTATCAGATGTATATAAACTGTGTGAATAGTTCCTACAGACACTGTTGTGTATTCAGTATAATTTTAAAAATAATAATTCGCATCATATTAATGTCATAGAAATAATATTATATAACAATAAATATAATTGATTATAATTAATTGTGGTGAAATCTGAGAAGATGCATTATGAGATCTAAGATTTACACCCATAGTTACTAAATAATAAGTAAATAATAAGCCTGGCCCTTAAGCGGTTAGTTCTTTAAAGGCAACACAAAAATGTGTCTATTTCTGCCATTTCATTTGCTCTCTGTCAAGATAATTGTAATTACCTTTATAATTACTCAATACTATTGTTGTATTTATTTGATTTGTAAAGAAGGTAATCTAACAAAATATAAGGCACATATCAGTCGTTTTATTCTTACTCTGATTAAACAAATCAGTTTGCTACTGTTCTGAGTGAGCTTACACCCTCACTCTGAAAAGTGGTCACAGTGCTTCCAACAATAAAGGAAGCCTAATGGATCTCTTATACAGCGATAGAAAACACGGTAGCCCTTAGAAGGCTCTACATGCCGATATGTTCCACTGTGGCGAACGTGGGCATGCATGCGTGAAGCAGAGTTAAAGTAGCCATCGGCAAATTCTCAGAAAGGATCGTTGGCAAGACGCTCCATTTGACAGGGCTAACAGACCTGCCTGTCTATCTGTATGTCTGTCTGTAGGTGATTGCTGCTGAGGGTGAGATGAATGCATCTCGTGCGCTGAAGGAAGCCTCTCTGGTGATAGCCGAGTCTCCGTCTGCTCTGCAGCTGCGCTATCTGCAGACCCTCAACACCATCGCCGCTGAGAAGAACTCCACCATCATCTTCCCCCTGCCTATCGACATGATGCAGAGCTTCCTCAAACGCTGAGCTCCCATTTTACACACACAAACATAATAACACACAGTAATATAAGAATGTGCATGGACACCCAGAGGACTTAAGTCCGCTCTTATGCAACACATGCAGATGCATTTACTGTGCTCCTAAAATATCTGACATGCATTCATACACAAACACACACACACAATCATACTCTGGCTGTAGTGCAGTGGTCTTTAATGGAAATCCTATTAATCTGCTTCACAGTTAGCAACAGTGGTCGTCAGCTCTCCTCCTGAAGATCTTTCCTGATGAGAAGTAGACACCAACCCCTGTCCTGGAGATCAACCTTTCTGTGTAGTGGTGCTCCAACCACAATCGGCTAAACCTGCTCCAAAAATTAACTTCTTCCGAAGTCCCTGATTGGCTGGATCTGGTGCATTGGTGTCAGGGAAAAGAGGGGCAGCATGTTAGATACAGCAGCATGGAACTAAACTCTGCAGGAAAGTAGATCTCCAAGAGGGAGGTTGGTGATCACTGATGAGTTTAGTTCCACCCTGTATCTAACATGGCCCCCGCACCCACATATGATCCACCCAGTCAGGGACTTCTGAAGACGTTAATTAGCTGGAGCAGAGGTGGCAGATGGCGATTAGAGCTAGACTCCACAGGAAAATATGGGTTGCAGGACCAGGGGTGCTGACCACTGCCATAGAAGAACCACTTCTTCTTTTAAAGGATGGTTCTTTAGAGAAGCTATAGGCTGGTGTAGAACCTTTGCATTATGTGAAGGTCCTTTAAATCTTTGAAAGGTTCTTCACACACACAAATCTCCTTTTCAAGCAAACATAAAGTGGTTCTTCTTGGTCGTTGCTCAAAGAACTGGCGTTTTTATTAAGAAGTGTTTTTGGTTCCCTGTAGATGATTTCAGTGGCTAAATGAAATGTGTAATTGTAAATAACCTTTTTAAACTTCCTCTAATAATGTAATGGTTCTATAACAAGCAATTTTTTCCCTAGAACTACATATTCAGGCCACAAACCCTTCAGGAGTGTATAGGGCAGTGCCATTTGCTGCTGAGATTTAGGATTATTAGGATTTCTGAACTGGTGATGTGAAAGAGCTCCTGATGACCTTTTGGGTTTTCGCGTGTGTTTATTCCTCTTGCGTGTATATGTGCTTGTTGTGCGTGTATGCCCCCTTGTGCTTTTGTCAGTGAGATACGAACAACATAAAATGGAAACTGAATAGCCGTGTAATCTTGTTTTTCCAGGAATGGTCTAGCGTTGCATCACCACTGACAATGTATCTGCGTGCCTATTGTTCTCTCTGAAAGAGCTCTTCTATTGACCATATCTGTCCTTACAAAGCCTTAAGCCATAATCAGTCTACACACCGTAAAATGCAAGTTTTGCTCTTTTGCTTATTCAGGCTTTTTTTAGATTTCTTAATCTATTATTAATATGAATTTAATCATATAATTTATTAAGCCATATGTTTTTATCTGAACTTTTTAAAAATTGTTTGTTACATTTGTAGTTATAAACATTATCCATGTTTAGGTTAAACAGTTATTAAGCAGTAAATGCAGTATTACAAAGAGAACGGAAGGCTGTTACTGCAGAGTTTTTATTTTATTTTAGTTTCTATGCTGCTTTCAGTGGTTGATGATGTTTTCTTAGATTCAGTTCATAGATCACCAAAGATATGCATCACTTATCAGAGTGTACGTTTAGAATTAATGCTAGTGAGGGAGGAAGGAATAGCCACATCGTATGCATGTTTTGTGCATTTGTGTATTCCAGCGATTTGTCTTTTAATCAGTCAGTAATGCCATAATCATTTCACACTGCCATCTAACTACTATAAAATAACTGAAACTACCCTAAATTTTTTTTTTTTGTCCTTGCAAATGCAGACTTTACCTTCAGTCGTTATAGAAGGAAACTCTAGCAGGCCACATCTGTATCTGTGTATGAATATGTTGAATTGTTGATTTTATATATATATATATATATATATATAAAGTTTGGGACTGCTTGCCATATTAAGAACTTTTGTTATTTTATGTGCAATAACAAAATTTGTGAATAAATATTTACTAACTATTCGCCAAATAATATTTTTAGAGTTTTATTCATTATTTTAGGAATTCTCTAAAGAGAAAAGTTCTTAAATAATAAGGTATACTAACCTATTTACATGTCAAATTAGATAAATTCTTGATATTAATTTTATTATAACTTCATTCTTGATGTTATACTGCTTTCTCAGTCATTTTAGAATCTTTTTCGACTCCATTCATCACTCTGCATGCATAAAATTCCTTAATTCTTTATGTCCTGCTAATTATTTGAAAGCTATGAAGTTGTGCATACACACCTATTTGCCACCAAATTTGATTTCTATTATTGAAAATGATTCCAGACCTTTGAATGGCAGTGTATGTGTGAAGGTAGCAAGCAGGGTAGAGAAGATTCAGGCTTGGTCTTTCTTTTCAAACTTCAGGTATTACATAACTTTCTTCATATTCCTGTATTTGTATTCACACCAGATTGGAATATTGTCTGAATGTTTTACTGATGTTTTTTATTTCTCTCATGCTAATGAAAAGTGTATTTTCATCTGTCTGTAATCCTGAAAATGTAAATACATCTAAATTGTTTACCTGAAAGTCTGTGTTTCCTTCAATGCAAACCGACCTTTAAACACAGGGGACATTTCTTAACAGTGTTCAGGGAGTATTTTGTTAATTCTAACGAAGATAAGGTTTGGTGGTCTCATGTGTCTGTGTGCTTATTAGAGTTTATACAGCAGAAGCAGCGAAAGTGTCACTTTATCACAGTGTACTGATCTTAGTGGCTGTTCCTCTTGTAGGCTGATCCAGAATCAGCTCCCCTTACCAACACATTGCTCTTTCTAATATACAAACAAGTGGCAAACCTGATCGTACATCAGTGTATAAGGATGAGAAGTATAGTCCTGAGCACGAGGGCCGATCCTAGATCAGATTCCTCAGGTGTGATAATGACTGCTGAATACAGGTCATAATCTCATGACACATTCTGTGTGTGTGTGTGTGTGTGTGCTCATTTGTCTGGGTGGATCTGGCCTTTATCAATCCCAAAATAGCATCTCTAACAGCAGATTTCCTGCAGGCCTTTACCAGATCAAAACAATTTGACTCTTTCAGATGCCGTGACAAGAGCTGTACTGGAAACCAAAACAGTTTTTTTCCTGAAGATCTTGTGGGCAATGGGGTCAATCTGATTATGTTTTGAGGTGCCATTCTAGACCAGATTTCTGAGGGGGGTGAGGACCATCTTGTTTAGGCATTTTTTGACATGAATGCATACTCTTTCAGCATTTTGCTGCACATCCTCATCAGAGGATAATTGCTCACGCTCGAAACTGACTTCAGCATTGTCCTCTGTTTCTGATGCCTCTTCTTCTACATCACTATCAGCATCTTGTAAATCATGTCCATCTTCTTGATCCATGACTTCATGGATTTCTTAGACTGTGAACCTCTTTTTAGCCATTATGATGGTAACAGATTAAAATATACAGAGAGAATGTGGGCTCTGTCCTGCATAGGACAGTTATATCAGTTTCACTCCTCCCCAGATAGGCCTGAATTACATTTTGCTGCAAGAAATATTTAGTTCTTTTGGACTGTGTGTGTGTTCGAGTGCACTTGCATGGAGAGCGAAGATGAGATGTATGTGTGTATGTGAGAGAGACTGAGTGTGTGTGAGCCTGTTGTATGTGTGTGTGTGAGAGAGGGAGAGGAATTGAGTGAGCATGAGAGTGTGTGTGTGTGTGTGTGTGTGTGTGTGTGTGTGTGTGTGTGAGAGAGCGAGAGGGAGACAGATAATCTATAAGATGTTGCACAGACGTGTATGTGTGCAACATCTTATAGATTATTGTCATAAACCTGATCTGCACTCCATGTCGCCCCCATAAGGTCTGGATTATACTTTCCCTCAAGAAGAAAGGATGAAATCTGTGTGTATGTGTGTGTGTGTGTGTGTGTGTGTGTGTGTGTGTGTGTGTGTAAAACCTTACAAACTGTAATAAACTTGATCTGCACTGTTTCCTCAATCTGCTGCATTCTTGATTGCCATTCTGAACTACAGGGTCAAATTTGGCCCGGAACAGTATCTTTGTACCCAAATGGTGTAGAGGTTTTATAAAAACATCAGTCATCTTCATTGTTACACACTCAAATCATCACTGTTGAGAAAGTCAAGTTTCATGAAAAAGAAATTGTAGTGTAATGGTATTTTAGAGACACTGAAACCTGAAATTATATATATATATATATATATATATATATATATATATATATATATATATATATACATATTAATAGAAATTAAATATTACAGTGACAAACATTAATGTCTCTTTCCTTTATGCAGGTCAGTATTTAGTATTTTATTTAGGTTAGTATTTTGTTGCATATCTCTTTTTTTGGATGAGAGATTGAAGCCTTCTAGGCATGGAGTGCTCATGTTTGCACAAGTGATGCTGAGCCAAGCTTGTTGGAGTTTCTTCTGGATGGTCAGAGCATGGCAGGTTTTGTACACATCCTGTCTCTTTCCACAATTTTAGTACCTTTTTGACTCTTGATTTTGGAACATTTAGTGTTTCTGTAATCTTCCTCACAAACATTTTATTACCAAGAGACAATATTTGTTCGTCAAGTTAATTCAACTCAATAGTCAAGTTTTCTAAGTTCCTTAGTTTTCTCTTTCAGAATGTGAAGAGTCAGGTATGTTGGATTGTACGTTGGAGATCTCTGGATTGAATGTGAATGTGAAAACATCTCTATCCCAGTTTTTGTTCAGTTCAGTCATGGCCAGTTTGTAATCATAGCCAGTACCTGGGTCAAGCCTGCTCTCAAATTTGTTTTCAAGTACCAAAACAAGGAAGCTGTATGTAATTATCACTAAGGGAATGGTGACTGTCCTATAGCTCCCTCTGCCTGCAAGTAAGAGTAACTGCTAAGTCCTGGACTGGAATCATTAGCTCTGTCCCACTTGGCACTCTTGCAGTCCTGCTCTCTTCACTTGCGCGTGCCTGTGAGGCCAGAGGGTGTCCCGCTTTTCATTTTGGCATTCAAGGTGGCAATCACGAGCACTCTGTGTGTGACCTTTGTTTACAAGTGTCTACCCATCATGGCAGAGAAGCTATTCAGGTGTGCATTAAATGCATTTGTTTATCAGTTTAAAGGGGAATTCCACTAATTTTCTATATATCTGCATGATTAAACTGTTAAGATGTAAACAAAGTCATTCAAGGTGGTGAAATGTTCCATTCTAGACTTGAGGAACAACCGAGAACAACTGAGGTGAGTCAGTTGTTCTGAGTAATGGTGATGCCAGATGTCTGAAGACTCTCTCATGGAAAGTTGGAAATGGTTATGGATTCGCTGCCTGATGTCTGAGATACTGCTTTACAATAGCTTTGAGGAGATTTTGGTTAAAAATGTATTTCTAAAATCCACTCATGGTGCCTGGTACAGAGGTATATGCAGGGCGTCGGAAGGCAAAATAGTCCCCAAACGTAACACTATTTTAAAACAGTTGCATATAAAAACTCTGTAATTCCCGTTCAACTTGTGACTGATTATGCTTGTAAACAAATGATTTAAAATGAGTACTACCATTAACATAATTTGGCTGGGTGCTGTACACGTGTAGCCTGTGTAATGCACACTTTTAAACCCAGCACCCCAATGTTCTCTTACCCTTTAAATCTGCATGTTGTTGACATCACCAAACCACATACTTTGAGGAGGACCACAGGGCTTAGTCCGCCATTTGGGACATGTCCACTTTAATTCAGCAGGATCAGGCAAATGGTGGAGAACAGAGAAATACATGCTGAGTAATGGTGGCCATCGAGTTGTATTGAGAATTGCTATGGAGGCACTATAATATGAGAAATGGCTTCATTTCAGTTATAAAAATCAACATTACATGAACTGACGAGTGCAAATATGTTGCTAAGTTTCACTGGTAAAGCTAGTGTTGCCGTTAAAAGCCCTTAAATGTTGGTCACTTAAAAAATTCAGTTCAGACACAAAAAAAAGACAAACTAACTAGATGGAACATGCAGGAAGAACAAGGCTGCTCTATTTCAGTCTGCTCTAAGGCCCAGTCATGAATCACCAGGAGGTTTTTAGTACAGCAACAACAGCAACAACAGGACAACTATTGTCTGCTTAACAATAACAGTCTTGCAAAAACATATGTTTCTATGCTTCAGCCTAAGAGTCATAGCTAATCCTGTGTTTTCATGATTGCTGACTAGGGCTAAAATGCCATTAACACACCGTATCATCTTCAGTCTAAACCCCTTTTACATGTTTGCCACATAAATGTCAATAAAATTCTACCAAAAAGCAAATATCTACCACTTAAATATTGCTGTAACAAAAGTGCATAGAATTCACGTTGCTTTACCTGTTTCGACTTTGGTGACTACAGACTGGGGCAGTAAGGCTATCTGGGTAGAAGTTGCCTTTTTACATTGGTCTTTCAGTAGCTACGCCTGTTCAAATGGAAAAGGGCAACTTCTATTATTATTACTAAGGCAGTGGGGTCAAAGATCAGGGTCAGAAGTGAAGGTTCACAGCTCGAGCTCGGCCATGGCCCGCTCAAGAGGGTCGCTGCTCCAGTATTCGTGGTCCCAGCCCAGGAACCAGCCGGTGAAAGTGGGCGGCTCTGAGCCCTGCTTAATCTTCACGATGGGCGTGCGTGGGTCACGTTTGGCCGGGTCAGTCTCAATGTAGCGGGCAGCTGAAGGACAAGGCAGAGTTTTAGCATTGTGCTAATATGACCAAATAACAGATTTACATATTAAACATTTACATATAGCACATGAGGAGGCAAAACAAAAGGAGGGCCACATTTTGATATTAACATGGGTAACCTAGTTGACATTTTTAAAGGGCCTATATCATAGAAACCAAACTGTTCTTGCTTTAAAAAAATGTAAAAAAAAGGGGTTGATGTTTTAAAAAGTACAGTTCATCCACAGTCCTTATATGGATGCTGCAAAAACAAAAAGAGTTTTGTATTCACTATTTTCATGATGTTATAAAAAATCATTGTATTTCTCATCTGTCTATTTAGCCTTCAACAGTTTAGCCCCACCCATTCACATTGACGTTATAAGGAGTGTTTCAAATGTGGGTCATTTCACTATGGGCCTACACTCCACACACTATTCTAGAACTAGATGCTGTACGTTACATGTGTCAGACTTCAGTCCTCACGGTCCAAAGCACTGCAGACTTCAGCACGCTGCCTCATTAAACACACCTGATTCAACTCATCAGCTAATTAGCGAAGCCTTCATGAACTGAATTCAGAACTTTGGATGAGGGTAAACACTAATATCCACAGAACTTTGGCCCAGAAGGTCTCCAGTTTGACATGCCTGCTGTACATGATATTAGCAAGTAAGTAAAGTTTATTTATATAGCGCTTTTTACAACAGGTGTTGTCACAAAGCAGCTTTACAAGGAAACGAGCATTACAGAAAGAAATCCGGGTCCGAGCCCCCATGAGCGTCGCCAGTGGCGACAGTGGCAAGGAAAAACTCCCTAGGAACAGGAAGAAACCTTGAGAGGAACCAAGACTCAGAAGGGGAACCCAT